TAATCTGCCCTGGTAGCAAAGTTTCTTGGCCACGCCACTGACTGCAATTTCCAAAGTGTCATCTGTATTTTTCAGTTCTTCCATGTATAAAGAATCCAACAGCAGTTTCCTTCAAGGTTGAGTAAGTTTGAATCTTTAGGGGGCTGTAGCCACAAGATTTGGCAAGCCATTCACTTGTCATGTTAATAAAAAAGGAATTGTTTCTACCTCTTTAAGCTAAATGAAGGAGTTGGATCAACTGGATTTTAGTCATAAAGTCCAGATTCTTCTTGCTTGCTAGTGAATAACTTCATGGTGTTCAGGGGTTTCATCCAATTTAATTTTATTTAGAAGAAGAACCGAGTTTTTTCTACGTTACCCACCCTTGAATTTGCTTGCTTGTTATGCTGTTCAAGCCTAATCTGTTATCTTGATCTCAAAATGAAAATAGAGCCTTTCTGCACTTTTTATTTCCCATAAGCAATTGAATTGAAAAGTGAGGTGGTTTGGGTTTTTTTTTCCAACTCCTTAAGTTGTTTTTTATAGGTGGCATGTTAGCTTTGAGGGCTGTTTCATGACTGGTAAAAGCTTATGTCTTGTAAAATCTATAGCTTTTAATGCATTTCGTTTCTCACTTCAAACACAGTACCAAGAGAAGAAATAATAGAATATTTCATGGTCATGCTGCTTTAACAGTTCAGATTCTGTAGCTCCAAATGCTTGAGCTTAAAATTTGATTTCCTGAATTCCTTAGTCTGAAAACGTGGAAACTTAGAGCAAGCTGTAATACACCCTGAAGAACTGTCTTGCTTACATGATTACTTTTCCTCTGCACAGAGACTGTAAGAAACTAGATCAGATGATTATATTATCTGTGAAATGCAAAAACACAGGGTAGATAATATTTGTTCCTGAAGACAACTTTTCCCCACTCTTTCTCTCATGATCTATTTTAGTGTTAAGAAAGTATCACCCCTGACCAAACCCTGATTAATGTTAGGTTGCAATGTAGAAATCTGATGCAAACCACCAAAAATATTAGTGTATTTTAACAAAAGGTCCTCTTGTTACTAACTACCCTCATTCTCTGTATCTGCCTGAAGAAAGACAGAACTTTGGGAGGTTTCTCCTTGCCTTCAGCTCTTGGGGTGAAGGGGAACCAAGGCACTCACAAGATGTGTGTTGCTTCAGGAACAAAGAAGGTTCAAAGTAAAATCATCAGACCTCTGGTTCCTATAACTGAGTGTAGTTCACATGGGACGATTCTGGGCAGAAATTTAGGGTCTGTATAATGGTGGATTTGCTGAAGCATTTTAAAGTAAAACAGAAGAGATTTAGATTAGACATTGGGAAGAAATTCTTCCCTGTGAGGGTGGGGAGGCCCTGGCACAGGTTGCCCATGGAAGTTGTGGCTACCCCATCCCTGGAAGTGTCCAAGGCCAGGTTGGACGGGGCTTGGAGCAACCTGGGCTAGTGGAAGGTGTCCCTGCCCATGGCAGGGGGTGGAACAAGATGGGCTTTAAGTTCCCTTCCAACCCAAACTATGTTGTGATTCAATGATTCCATGAATTTGGCCATTGTTCCCTTCAAGTTACACACCAGGTTTTCAGGGCAGAGCTGCAGGACAAGGTGCCATCAGCCTAGAGCTGGATGGTGCTTTGCCTGGCAAGTATTTCCATTGAAATAAAGAGAAATATTAGCATAGGAAGGGCTGAAAATGAGCAAATGTGGTGGATGGTGAATACATCAAAAATGACCTGTGTGGGACTAATTCAGTGAGCAAAGCGGAGCTGCCTCGTACCTGACAGGTCTGAATTCAACACGGTGCTTTGTAAACAATAAATCAATGCAGGTTGTTTCTGTGAGTGCATAAAAGGTGTGAGAACTGTAATTTATTTTATAATAAATACTTGTGCTGAGCAAACAGTGAATGCAGCTATTAGAGACTTTCTCAAATACATGATTTTAGGCTGCTGAGTGCCAGCTACTGATGTGGTAGTTGAGCTTTTAAAATGAAAAGCCTGAATTCCTTTTGAAGATTCTCCTGAATGCTGTTGACACTTGTGCTAGGAAAGAATACAGAGTAATTTAATTCATTACTTTACTTAAAGATAACGCTTATAGTTGCAGCATTACCCTCCATTGGTGTGCAGACTGCGAGGCTGGAGGTGTTTTGCTCGAATTTTTTGGAGATATTACATCCTTTTATTAGGAGTGCTGAAAAGCTGGGGAGAAAAAAATGTAGGAGGGAGAGGGGAGTTCAGGATCAGTCAGCTGGTGTGTCTGGATACAAGGACAAAGGGACAATTTTGCCCTTGGCTACAGTTTGACACTTCTACTAGATTCAGTCAGAATTATCTGTGTGTGCTGAAGGGCACAAATGTCATTTTTATGGTGTTCTATATCCTCAGTTGCTTTTTTTTGTAATTGGCTGCAGATCCCAGTGCTGTAATAGAGCTCTTAAATCCTGACCCCGGCCGGAACAGCTCACAAGTACCAGTATTAACACTACTGTCCATTTGAAGTGCAGGGTTGTCCTGAGTCCTTCCACCTTGTTTTTCAGGCACCATCTTGTGTTTCAGCCTGTTTTAGTGGCAGCCTCCCACCTTTCTACTGGCTTGGGGTGCTCCTCTGCTTTGCTGCTCTTGGTCTCATCTCTCTTGGTCCACTGGCCTCGGGCATCCCTCTGTTCCTTCCCTCGCTGTCTCCATCAGTTTTCCTACCCTTGGCTCCCCTTCACTAGCTGAGGGTCCTTGGATGGGTCCCAACCCTCTCACATTCTACCCCTTCATGCTCATCTTTTCTCCATCAGTCACCTTCTTTTCTGCTAAAAAAAGAAGTGTTTCCTTGCCTGGACTGAAACCCCACCCTTCTGATCCCAAAGCTCTTCCTCTCCCCATCCGAGGGCTTTGTGCTTCTGAGTCTTTCACTCTCCTCAGATTCTTCAGTGTTCCAGACCTTTGGCTGATACCTGGCACCCCCTGTTTGAGAGGAAAGGCAGGGATTTTATTCTTCAAACCCTACAGAGAAGGGAGCAGAAACAGGATTGGCTGGAGCTGTGGCCGGTGTGCCGGGGTGGGACATTCCCAGCTCTGATCTGGGAGGGATGTGACATAATCCAGACATCATTTACTGGCTCCATATAACCTGAGGCATCACACATAAATTCAGCCTGAATGCATAAACTTGTATAAAGAGGATCCTTAAACTATCCTGGCTAAAAATATTTGTGAAATGCTGGGGAGCATCTTTTTGGTGCATTAGGATGCTCTCTTCCCTCTTATCTGTTACAGATATACAGGGGGGTGGGGGTCATGGTCTTAGGGATGTGTGTTCCATGGGAAATACTGTAATTTTTGTGGGTTCATTCATAAGTATTTTGGGCCTGGAGTCTGAAGCAAAAGATGTTTCACAACTACAGAGGCCAAAGAGATGGAAGGTGTTATTGTAGGCTGACATGAACCTGTCCAGGTCGGTCCCTGGGCTGCTCCCTTCAATCCTTCTTTGCCCAAACAGTGGTTGTTCAGTTCAGTAAGTAATGGCCATTATTTATTATTAATTCAAAACATCATGTGCAGGATTTTTTCCCATTTAAGAGCACATTAGCTTCTCCTGCCCAAGAAAACACATGTTAATCTGTTTTCCATTATTGTCCAGAAGATTTTTTCAGAAGGCAGTTCATATTACCCTGACAACATTAAAGGCTGTAATTAAAAATAATTTTCCATTAATTTATATACCTGCACATTTACTTATTATGATCTTTTACTGCATTTCCCTGAGTGTACACACAGAAATCTAAAATACTGTTGAAGATTAAGTCAATATTCAGTGTAATGATCCAGTGCCAGAACCCTGACATACTTCAATTAATGATCTTTCCTAACAAACACCTGCATAGGGAGATGGATCTTCTGTGGGAATCAGCACATAAATGAACCCTGACTTTTCTGCATGGGCAGAGGAAGGGAATTCCAGCATTTCACAGCTTTTACTGATAATGATCTGCTACAGATTAAAAACAAAAACCAGACATTATGGTGTTGGCAGATTGCAAAAGGACTTGCTGGTAAAGCTGCTGTTCAGAGGAGATGAGGACAGTGTTTATTGCTTCCATATGGTCCAGGGATACAAGACAGGCAAAATGTCTGGGGAGAATAATATGTCTTATTATATTGATACAGAACATTCTTGAGGTCTGTCAGCCCTGTCCCTGCTACCTTTCCCAGGTGAGAGCCTGAGTGGGAAATATTTGCCCACGATTCAGCATGAAGATAAGAAAAGATTGCTTAAGGGTTGGCTCTGTTTGTGTGAGTGAAGTGTTAGAAATGCTTATGTTTAAGGGGTCAGGTCTGGGAGCTGCCACCTAACACTATTTTTCCTTGACTGTTTGTATAGTTTTCAACCCTTTGACTTTCTTATTCAGCTTTGCAAAGTGCATTAAGAGTCTAAATTTAGAGTTTGATAAATCTGTGTCAAAAAAACTCTTTTTCCGCATAATGTAAAATTAAATTTCTTGGCCTCTTTGACCTCCTGATATTTTTTTTTTAGCCAAATTTAGAACCAAACTTCCAGGCACACTGAAACAGAAGAGTAACAGGCTACTTTTGTGTATGTGCATATGGATAGTTGACCAAAGAACTGCAGTCTTTGACTTTTCCATAATTATCACTTGTGAAGCACCTTTATGTGTTGGAAAGATGCCACTGCCCTTGTGCAGAATTTTGGGGAGTAAGACCTTCAAAGATCAAATGAATATGCTCAGCTATTAATATGCCTATTTCATTGCAAAAAGGGAACAGGCAAAGGAGTTGGAGCCTTGCAAACCAGTCCACTGAGCTGAAACCCAAGAGGATTCCACCAGTCAGAGGATGAGCTGATCAGTCCTACTGGGTCCTTTGATAAATAAATATTGAAAATGGTTATTGTTTGTGTGAATGTTGCAATTGCTACCGTGCATAAACTTGTGTAGCAGGTGTTCTCCATGTGATAACAGAACTTCTGCTCTCTTGTTCTCCCAGGGCTGATGAAATCGAGATGATCATGACAGACCTTGAAAGAGCAAATCAGGTAGGATTTTAAATGAGCCCTCCATAAAATTCTGAGTGTGACTTTGATTTTTCTCTTTTAATTCTCTTTTGGATTTCATGACAGTTCTTTTATATGCACTTAGCAGTCATAACTGTGTAGAGTAAGAAAATATGCAAATTTAGAGCAAAATACAGCTCTTTAGGGATGCTCTGCAAGGATTGTGTGCACAGTAGAGTGGTGCTTCCCATATATTTACCTTCTAATAATTTAAACTTACATTTCCCACTGTAGTTATTCTTGGCTTTATGTTTCTAAATCCATCATGCTGGTCCCTACTCAGACATTCAAGTGACTGGTTTACCCAAATTAAAGAGCCTCTGCCCTGTGGCAGTGGCAGGGCTGCAGCTTTTATGGACTTCTTCAGAGTTTTCTTTTCTCTTCCTTTTCTGATATATTTTATTGGTGCATTAATTTTTAGCAAGGGTTGGATCAGGCTTTGCCGTGTAGGACAAGGAAGGAATTGAGTCATTTGTTCCTGCAGATGCTGATTTGCAGATGCTAATTTGGCATAAATGTCCCTCCCACCATCCTTTGCAAGGCACACACTCCTGACAAAGTGGCACAATCATATGGGACTTCTTAAAATAATAAGTTTTTTAAAAAATCCAAACCCAACACCCGAGCCAAGTGTCCTTCTGGTGCAGTCTGTGCTTTGAGTGTCTGTTTGAGGTGATGAAGGAGATGTTCCTGGACAGGCAGGATTCACAGGTCACACATGCAGTGGGTGGTGGTTTCACAGAGGGAAACCTCAACCAGGCATTTGCTTATCAGTGACATTCATTAAACCCTCTGTCAGGTAAGATCAGAGATTACAATCTTAAATCTCTCAGGTTATGGATTTATAATCCTGCTGAAGTTACCTAAGAGCAGCTCACTGCCAGGAGGAATTGTGGCAGCTCCTTCCCCTCCGTGTGGTCCTGCTGGGTGCCCTGTGCTGTCAGCAGTGGTTGTGGGAGCCAGACCAGGCCACTGCTCCTGTTGGAAATGAACCCCCTCCTCCAGCTGCTGTTTGGTTTTGCCTTCTTCCTTTTGCCAGATCAGCTTTCAGCCCCCACCCTCCCCTGGTGCAGCTGTCAAGTCTTGCAAGTGTCTTGGCCTTTACATTAGTTCTTGGTAAATTGGACAAACACAAATCACAGAATCATTTCCCCTGGAAGAGCCCTCTGTGATCATCCAGTTCAACCATTAACCCAGCACTGCCAAGGCCACCACTAAACCATGTCCCCAAGTGCTACATCTTTTAAACCCTCCAGTGATGAGGACTCCACAACTGCCCTGGGCAACCTGTACCAGGGCTTGACAACCCTTTTAGTGAAGAGATTTTCCCTGATATCCAATCTAAACATCTCCTGAAACAACTTGAGGCTGTTTCCTCTTGTCCCATCGCTTGTTACCTGGGAGAAGAGACCAACTCCCACCTGCACCCTTCTGTCAGGGACTTGTACAGAGTGAAAAGGTTCCCCCTGAGCCTCTTTTCTTCCAGGCTGAGCCCCCCCAGCTCCCTCAGCTACTCCTGCTGCTCCAGACCCTTCCCCAGCTCCATTCCCTTCTCTGGACACACTCCAGCCCCTTAATGCCTTAATGAAGCTCAAAGCAGATTTGTAGGTTGTTGGGTTGATTATTTAGTCAGTAAAAGCAAACTGGTGTTTGCACAGTGGGTTTTTAGTTCTGTCAAAGAACTTTTGTAGACTGCATTAAATATTTATTGAAGTGCTAGTAATTATTTGGAAATATGTAGACTTTTTAGAAATGATGTAGGTGTTAAAGATGTTTTGGTAGAATTATTTTGTGATTTTTGCAAAAGCACTACATTTTGCCAATGTAGCAATGATTTACCCAGTAGGGTTTGTTTTTTTCTTTCCCTCAGAGTAGAAAGGGGGTTGTAGTTAAAGAATAGGTATTTCTGATTTCCACACTGCCATACTAAAATCAATTGTGTATGTTTATATAGAAATGCTCTTTTTCTGTCTAACTGGAACAAAGCTGCAATGTGGTTTGGTTTGTTTGTTTTTACTTTATTGTGGTGGTTTTGTTGTAATTAGGTAAAATTTATAACTGCTTATGTACATAACCCTTTCTTTGGTTGTAATTCAGCAAAAGCTGGGTCTGTGCATTACTATCAGTGTGCAGTTCATCTGAGCTGTTGTAAAGCTAGAAGAGAGGATTCTGTCTTCCCTTTCCCCATCTGCTCCTCCTCTGCCTCCCCCTCCAGCTTCTGCAGTCCCATCCCCTCCCAAAAAGCAGCTCCTGCAACTGGGAGACCTTTCATTGAGTCCAGTGAGCTCAGTAAATGCAGATTTGGGATGAAGGGGCCAAGTTTGTTTTCTGTGGGTTTAACAAGTGGAGGCAGCTCAACAAACCATGGGAGAGGCCACAGTGCCAAAATCAGAATCATGGAATGGTTTGGGTTGGAAGGGCCTTTAAAGACCATCTCATCCCACCCCCTGCCATGGGCAGGGACACCTTCCACTAGCCCAGGTTGCTCCAAGCCACGTCCAGCCTGGCCTTGGACACTCCCAGGGATGGAGCAGCCACAGCTCCTCTGGACAACCCGTGCCAGGGCCTCACCATCCTCAGAGGGAAGAATTTCTTCCCAATATCCCATCTAACCCTGTCCTCTGGCAGTGGGAAGCCATTCCCCCTGGTCCTGTCCCTCCTTGTCCTTGTCCCAAGTCCCTCTCCAGCTCTCTTGGAGCCCCTTTAGGCCCTGGAAGGGGCTCTCAGGTCTCCTTGGAGCCTTCTCTCCTCCAGGTGAACCCCCCCAGCTCTCCCAGCCTGGCTCCAGAGCAGAGGGGCTCCAGACCTGGGAGCATCTTCATGTCCCTCTCTGGACACTCTCTCCAACAAGTCCATGTCTTCCTTGTGTTGAGGGCCCCATGAGGGCCCCAAGGGGAGTGTGTGGCCTCAGAGGAGATGGAGAAGGGAAGGGAAGGTTCACTGGTAGAGGAGCAGGAGCTGCTGCAGTAGCTCAGCTCATTTGCTGAAACATCCTCATAGTCTTTGCCTTGTGTGATGCTTTACCTTTATAAAACACTTTGGTAAATTATATCTAAGTAATCTTTGTAGCAGCAATTCCTGTGTTTTACCTCTTTATAGTCAAAAAAAAAAAAAAGGAAGAAATTAAATCTATTGCACAGGCCAGAAAGTGAGTTTGCATCAGGCTGAAGTGTTACAATTGCAGAAACAAGTACTTAACCTAATTATGTATTTAATAGTTAAATTAACATTTCCTTTTACCATTTCAGTAAGTGCTCATTCCCCATTATTAAGGCTACCTTTAAAGAGTAGTGCTCAGCACGACTCCTGCTTTGTGCATAGACTGCCTTGCTGATTTGGATGTGATGTTTTGCTCCTCTGGAATTAACACTGACCCAAAAGACTGGGATTTGGAGCAGAAATTTACATGTTTCCACCGAAAATGTGGGGAAAAAAAATTGCTGTAAATTTTTAAAGAGCTGATATTTCTTGAAAATCCCTTTCTCTATGACTGCCCTTTTAAAATCCAGAGTTGGCACTTCAGAACTTCCCGTGTATGTGAGGACACCTCTGTGGCTCCTGAGAGGTGGGCAGGGCCACTTCCCTCTCCACTTCTGCAGGAATGAGGGTGTGGATGTACTCACTGACCTTGGTCCAGGTGTCCATATCCTGGATGATAAAAGCCTTAGGGACAGAGCTGATGTTGTGACTCCCACCCTGGTGTCCTGCTGGGTCAAACATGGGCCATTCTTCTTCAGACTCCATCACCTCTCTTCTCCCAGTTTTCCCATACAGGAGCTTTCTGGGCTAGTTTGTGTGCTATCATCCTCAGAACAAATTACTGGCTCCTGGAAATAATTACCTTTAAATACCAGTGAGCTTTGCAATTTTCTGCTCAGACAGAAGAAGGGGAAGTGACCTCAAAGCTCCATCTCTCTCCATTGTATAGTGACACAAGGTATAAACTGAATTTGCCCCCAAACCATAATCATGGGAGAAATTAATCCCTCATTTGAGCAGAACAGGCTGGAACAGGGGTGGGTGCTGGAGAGGAGGGGGTGGTGGCAACACGATGACTGAGGTGACAGCCTCTTCCTTAGCTGCTGATCCAGGTGCTCAGTGCCATTAATCCAAGATCTTGGGGGGGAATTTATGGCAGGACTAGTCTGTTGTGGCTGACAGAGCTCAGGGTGAGGTAAGTACACCAAGTCACACCCACTGGGAGGGTGAGGTGGGTGTCAGTGGCGACCTGGAGAGTAACCCTTCCACTTGAAAGTCCTCAGAGCTTTTTTTATAAAAAAAAAAAGGGCCAGAATAGTAAATTAAAAGTGCTGGTTCACCTAGACCTGCCTCAAGAGGAGCCATTAGCTCATGACATGGGGCTTTAGAAGGGGTGAAGGTCTGAAGCCAATAACCCCCGCTGGCTTTCATGGTAAAATGCAACTGCATCATCTGCCAGACAGCAGAGGAACTGGGAGTCCAGTATCCCTCTCCAATCCTCTCCTCATCCCTGAGGTTGTGTGACTGCACAGGACTGAAGTCACAATAGAGCTAAATACAATAGGAATGGCTTATTTGCACTTTACTGACTCTCCAGCTCAACAAGAAAACTAACCCACAAGTTCAACCTCACATTTCCATGAAGATTTAATAATGCTGTAGTTTGGGGAAGGGACTCATTTTATTAACATTTCATTTTGCACAATAAATCACTGCATATTTTCTGATATGCTACGAAGTATAAGAATAAATAATTAAAACTAAACTACCCGTACTTGTCAAAATAAATGATTTATCATAGTTTGGGATACAGCATCTTTGAATTTTTTATTGTTTGATTCCCAGAATATTCTAATTTCCAATCAGGGAAGTTAATGAAGCTCCAGTGTACTTTTTTGCATTCACAGCAGTTACAGTTGTGTGGCTGTTTATTTTACACAAATATTTATGGTTAGCACTTTTCTGTACCTTTTCAAGTTTACACCTTTCCCGTAAGTGTTTAT